GCTTAAATCTGTATATTGAATTGACTTAGGAATTAATTTAGACATATAGGCTGCCATTTGACAGCAGTATATTCTGAAATGTCTGATAGATATCTATTTTTGAATAAAGAGGGTGTCATTGAACAGTAGTGGCTTTACTTTTTTTCTTCAGTGCTCTGGCACCCATCGGGTTTTGTTTTGGGTGCCTCCCTGCAGGAGCACCAGGAGCTGCTGTTCCAGCAGGATCAGTGTGATCGAAGCCTTTTGGCTTTGGGGGCCTTCACATCGCCCTGGGAGTTAATTCTGGAGGTTTTGGGGAGGCTTAGGGGGTTCTTCAATTAACTGGTCTGCAACAGCCTCTGTGGGCAAACAGTAATTGTTTCATATGCCTCAGAGAGTATCTGCAAAGCGGATTATGTTTTGTACTGATTTACAAATCTTCCCTTAAAGGCACTATATTTAGCACTGCTCTCACAAAGCCGTGCAGGGGTTGGCACGTGGCGCTGTGGGAGCAGGAGGGAGCTGGTGCGGTTCCTCCCGGTGAAAACCACCTTTGTGGGGTGGTGTAGGAGCTGGGGTGGGGTTTTCAAAGACATGAATGTGACAAGGTACTGGCTGTCCTTCCTTGCCTTTGAGAATCGAGTTTTTGTTGTTTTTTTTTAAGAACTGGAACAAACGCCTCTGAAAATATGTGGCTGTTAATGCAGCTGTCTGTGCAGTTTAGTGCCTCAGTGCACCGGTGCGTTCCCTTCGCTGCGTGCTCAGCAGGGATTGCTGTGTAACCAGAGTGTTGGCTTACATACCTGCACAAGGTGAGAACTCTCTCCTGGCTCACCAACAGGTCAGTCTGTGAGATCCCAGGTTGTGATGGTCATCAGGAAGGGCTGCCAGAGTCTTGGAGTGCCGAGGGAGGTGGGCAGTTGTGCTGCCGGCATTTCGATGGGGGTGAGATGGTGTGGGCTTCATCCATCTGCTTATTTGGGCCAAATGTTGTTATGTTCCCTGATCGGTTCCAAACTTCATGTGTGTTTATCTTCGGGATTAGATAGAAAAAGCATAAAATGTGCCTCATGCCATCTGAAAAAAAAAATGACCTGATAAAACGGTTGGGTGAAATGTCACTGCAGACACGGCGCCGGTCTGCTGGACTGAGGCCGGGACACATATTTGCCAGTGATTTCACTGGCTTTGGGATGTGCCACAGGCATCCACTGCCTCTGTCCTGTCTGCTGGAAGGCAACAGTAGGTAGGAATTGGTTTCTTTATTTGTATTTTCAGTAGCGGCTTTACATAACAACATTTAGCCAGAAGTTTAATAAAGGCCAGTGGCCTCACAGGCCTCCGTGGGTGCTGGAGCAGATGAAACTGTGGTTGTGCTGGTCCAGAACGTGAATCAGTGCTCCTGGCTGTGAGATACCCAGGGCAGTGGGCAGGGGGAAGGCATGGAGTGGAGGTGAGCTTCACCTGGGAGAGAGCAGCAGCACTGGGAAAGTGCCCCAAATCCTGTGCCAGGCATCCCCTTGTTACTGACCTGCCTGGTTTCTGCTGTGTTTTTCAGCGAAGCAGCTGTCCCAGAGAGATCATCTGTCTCACTGATGGCCACAGCAGATGACAGCCATCGACTGCTACAGGGTTTGAGGCTTTTTGTGTGCTGTCCAGGGAATGGAGGAGGAAAGGATGTGTTAAAACAGGACACCCAGTTGCTTCATGTGTTTCCTCAGACTGAGTTAACTATGAAACATTTTTCTTCACCTTAAACTCTGTCTGTGTGTGTCTTCACAGTTTTTCTGATGTTCTTCAAGGGAAGATTAATGTTTGTCTTGGGAGACTGAGAAGCATCAAACAGGTGTGGTGTATTCTGACCAGCCCAGCAGCAGCAGCAGGAAACACCCAGGATCTCCTCTAGGAAACCTCAGGAGCAGGCAGGGGATTCCAGGGACCAGCCAGCATGGGGCAGCCCCTGGATGGGGATGTTTAAAGAAAATGAGCACTTTGGGCACAGAAATGCCCCCTCAGGAGAGAGCAGCCTGAGGGGCTGGTGTTCTACATCCCATCAAGGCTGGATTCTGGGTTTGCAAATCCATGTCCCTTGGCTCAGGGATGTGATGGGTTGCAGCCTGGCTGGCTCGTGGTGGCCCAGTGTCACGCTGCTGCTGACAGAGCAAATCTGTGTGACAACTACTAGTTAACCAGAAACAGATTTAGGGTCTTGTCAGTTCTTTTTGGGAAGAGATAAGTCTTGTCCCTTCTTTCTGAGAAGAGCTAAGTCTTGTTTCTTCATTCTGGGAAGAGATAAGTCTTGTCCCTTCTTTCTAAGACCTAAGTCTTGTTTCTTCTTTCTAGGAAGAGACAAGTGGCTGACTGTCAGCACATCGCTCTGCTGCCAGCACCCAGCTGGCTCTCACCAGTCCTTACTGTTTGTGTGTCAGCCCAGCCTGCTGTGAGGCGCAGGATGGGGACCCCAGGGAGGGATGAGCCAGAGGCTGCTCCCCTGGGAGGCTGCGTGAAGGGAACAGGCAGGCACAGAAAGGCTCTGGGAGTTGCAACTCCACGGGATGGCCATGCTGGAGAGGCAGACACCATCTCTCCATGGTGTCTCCTGCACATCCCATGACCATGGAAGAGAGGGTGGCTTCCTGCAAGGGCAGAGCGGGACCTCCTGCCGTGTGGGGTGTATGGGTCTTTCTCTCGCTGTTTGGTGGTGCCTCAGGTGTCTCGTTGGCTCAAGGAGGGTAAATGTGTCCATGTGTGGGGGAGGAGGGAGACCTTTGGAGGGGCAGCAGTGTTTGGAAATCCCACAGATTTGTTCCTGTGGAAGCTCTGATTTATGGGAGTTTGTTCTAGTTTTGATCCATCAATGAAGGTAAGTTAAAGGTCCTCAAGTCTAAAATGAGTTTACAGTCAGTTCTTGGCAAGTCAGCATCTCCAGCGAGCCGAGGTGTATCCGTAACCTCCCTGACACGTGAATGCTCCCGCCTGGCTTTGGCACTTGGGCTAGTGCTGAATTACAAACCCTCCACACAGTGGATGCTGGAAATATTTAATTCATAATTTACTGCTCGCGCAGCAAGAGTGTGAGAGGGTCTGATGGATGCAACGTGGGACCACATCAGTGACCCGGGATGAGCACAGGGAGATGGATGCAGCACAGGACCATGTCAGTGATCCAGGATGGGCACAGGGAAGCTGACCCCAGTTCTGTGAATAATGGAGGACAAACCTGAGAGCCAACCCCCGCTGCCAAACCGTAACCACAGCGTTTGGAGTCCCTTCCGAGCTCGTTTCTCGTCGGAGCAGCCTTGCTCTGCTGAGGCTCAGATGGATGGGAGTGACCTTCAGGAATAGCTGTGCTCATGTTTATTTTATCAGGACCCAGCTCTGAAGCAGTGGAGCTGCTGGTTATTTTTAACCCAGGCGCTGAGCAGCTGGAGACCTGGCTCAGCAGAGCCCAGTAACAAATGCTCTAAAGCAGGGCCCTGCATCATCGAGGGGCTGAGGAATGTTCCTGACAGGGAAGGCAGTGCTCGCTGTGCCATTAACTCCTTCGGGGTTCTTTGGAACTCCCTTTGCTCTTGGGACTGATGTCTGGAGGGTTGGTGCTGCCAGAGCTGGGGGCTGGTGTGGCCCCCATTGTTCACCCTGCCTGCAAGAGAGCCCTCATTCCCATCCCTCCTGGAACTCCTACCCTGTCCCCATGCCATGGGGTGACCGCTCTGTCCCCTGGGAGAGCTGCTCATCGTTCTTCATCGCTCCCTGGGCCAGACCTCCCCTCTGACCCACTGCACCCCATGGGGGTCCCAGCCCCCAACTGCCTTTTCTCATTGCGTTTGAGAAAAGCAGGACAGGGAGATGTGGTGGTTAAAGCTCCACAAGGTAGGGGGAAATGGATCACATGGTTCTCTGGGAGGGTTGTCTTGAAAGGTTTTGTTGGCTAAATGACGTGCCCCATCCCAGACCAGAGGTGCCCACTGCAGTCCTACACTTGGGAGCTGGGGCTGGGGCTGGGACAGAGCTGAGATGGGTCTGAGCTTGGCCTCCCATGGGGGGAGCAGAGCTGGGGTGTGGGGAGTTCTGGCCATGAACCCCAGTCTGGCTCGTGGGAGCAGCGGCTGCGCCTGGAGTGCTGCATGTGGAGATTTTATCTCATCCTAAAGATAAACACAAAGGGAAGCTGGAGGACAGGCTGTCCTGGGTGGGAAATGCTCCCAGCTGCCCATGGACCGTAGGTGGGATGGGAGACGCCAGGAAAGTCAGGGTGACTGGGACCATTCAGTGTGAGCAGGGTCCCCTTGTCCCACAGACTGTGTCCCTGGGCTGGTGCGTCCTCTCTGCTGGGGCTGTGGGACCCTCATCCGGAGACCACCAGTTCTGTAATGGTTTTTGTGGTGTTTGTTTACAGGAGCAGGAAGGCTCCCACCCTTTTTGTGGGGAGCAGGCTGGAGGACTGTTCTGGCATGGGAAGTGTTTATCTTCAGTGGAGCCTCGACCCCAGTTCCAGGCATGAGACAAATCCACACTCTCCTCCTGCATCCCTGTGCTTGATCCAGCTGCCCCTTCGGCCATTCCAGGCTGGGTGGACAGCCCTGCCCAGAGCCTGGGTGTGCAAAACCCATTGGTTTGATTACTGTGGGTAGTAACAGGTAACCAAACAGGGTTCTCTCTCCTGTTCTCTGTGCACAGTAACAGTGTGGAGCCATTCCTGATATGGGAGAAATGCCCCAGGAAGGTGTGGGGTGGCTGCCTTAGGGGCTGAATGCACCTTTACCCCACACCATCGATGCTGCCAAGTTGTGCCATGGGACCAGGAGAACCACTGGGGTCACCCCTCTTCCTGACCCCTGAGCTGAAGAGCAGTCCAAGAACACCAGGCCAGGCCAACTCGGGGCAGAGGGGGTGGCCAATGTGGGGCTGCAGTGCCAGCCATGGCAATGCCTGACTGCTGGGCACCCACTTGTGCACTGGGCAAGGAGCAGCTGGGTGCTGCTGTGGGGAGAGGAAGTGCAAGAAGAACCGTGTCTGGCTTTAAAAGTGAAAAATAGAATTTTTATTCAGTGTTTGCATGGTTGGTTTGTGTCAAGGTAACGTCCCATCCCTCCCTGCAGTCTCTGCAGTGCCAGGATGGTTATGGAAGCCAATGCCTGGCTGTACCCAAGCAGCAGGTTATTTGCAGTATGTATTTATAGGTTTGTTCTGTATGTATATATGGTGTATAGACAGCTTTGTGCTCACAGTATACAATCTCTCTCTACCGAGCTGCAGTCAGAGAATTGCGACGGCGGGTGCAGTCGGGGCTGGAGGGGGTCGTTCTGCTGCTGCCTCTGTGAAATGGGCTCTGGGGGCTGGGGCTGCCAGCACAGCAAAGAGGAGGGGGCTGCACTGGGGTCCCGGCTGTGCCCAGTGCTGGGGGACAGGCAGGACAGGGATGCTTCCACCCCACAGGGTGAGGGAACAACGGTGAAGCGAGCGGCTGCCCCTGGAGCCCTGCAGTGCCACCAGCTCCTTTGTCCTGTCCCTGCTCCCGGGGAGGAGCGTGGCACCGCTGCCACTGGAGCGGGGTCAGGCTGGGCTCCGGCAGTCCTTTGGTTCCCTGGGACCATCTTGGGCTAAAGCGAGTGGGGGGCCAGTGAGGCAGGGTTTCTGCAGCTCGGGGACCACGGCAGCTGCTCACATGGGCTGGGGCGCGATGATGACGTTGCGGTAGCCCTTCACCCCCCTCAGCTGGTCGCTCTCGAAGTCCACCATCAGCTTCTGGAGCCCTGACTGGTGCGGCATCAGATCCAGACGGAACTTGGCCTCCGCCTGCGGCTCCACCGGCTCCTCACTGCGGGAGGGCAGGGGGTCAACAGGGCCTGTCACCCTCCTGGCCCCCTGTCACCCTCCCTGGGCCTGGGACCCCTGTGGGGTGGCCAAGCCCCTTCCCCAGTGAGGTGTGGTGTAGGGATGCTCTGAGTCCACAGGGAACAGCACAGCCCTGGCTCCTGCTGTGCCCCAGGACCACCCTCCCTGGGGGTTCGAGGCACAGAAATCCACCCCACTCCCAACATTCCAGCCAGGTGAAGAGGGAAAAACTTACAGCTGCTTGACCCGCTGCCCATGGGTGAGGCCGGAGCCCTCCACCACGAACACACAGTTGCTCAGAGGCACTTCAAGGGGGTTCACCATGCTGATCTCTGCCACCAGCTTCCGATTCTGCATCGGCTCTCCTAAAATCTGCAAGTAGGAGAAGTTGGACCCCCAGCACCCACCATTCCTGGGGGCCGTGGTGCTCCCCCTGCCCTGGGCCTGGTGGGATGGATGCAGGTCCAAGGGGATGCAGCCCTGCCTCCCAAAACCAGCCTGGGATGGGAGACTGGACCCTCACCCTGATCTTGATTGGCGGATTCTCAACATAGACATCCCTGACAGCCACCATGACGTCGCCGGTCTGGTGATCAGTCAGGAGAGCCACCACCTTGATGAGGTTGTCCTGGGTCAGGCTGTCCTTGTACTGCTCGTACAGGATGCGCATGGGCACCCTCTTCTCTGGAAGGGGAAGCAGAACAGGGTCAGCACCCACAGCACCCCCAGCCCGGTGCTGGCAGGCACCTTCTGCTGGGATGGTTTGGGCTCCCCAGGAGCTTCTCGAGGCTCCTTGCAAGGATGGGGGAGCTGGGGTCCCTGCAGGATTGGGACTCCAAACCCAGGTGCCAGAAGGGATGTTGAGGGTGTGAGGAGGAGAAGGAGCCATGTCCCAGGGCAAGACCCCAGGATTGTGCCTGCACCAGGATCCCAGAGGGACTTTGCAAGCCCTTGGCAGCCAATGTGGGCAGCAGGAGACAGCCTGGCTCCCTGGCAGCTGCCTTCACTCAGCCCTTAGCTGTTGTTTATCCCAAAGTCCTTGGGGGATGGAGCTGTCTGGAGCTGAGGGGGAAGGAGGCTGAAGGGAATCAGCTGCAGAGGTGCCTTGGCAAGGACCCCTGAGCGACTGTGACCATGGAAAATGGAGCCTGCCATTCCTGGGGCAGGGCACAAACTGCCATAGCATCAAATGAGGCCATGGGGAGAGGAACAAGCCTGGCTCCCTGCATCAGCACAGAGCACTGGGGTGCCCTAATGGATGCGGTCTGGGGAATCCTGAGGTCTGTATTCTGAGACAGCAGCTGGGGGCAAAGCTTCAGGAGCTCGTAATTAAAGCTTCAGAGAAAATTACGTCCTTTTGGACAGGAACATTAAGGACCCCAAAGGCCGGCAGTGCTCCTCTAGAGCAGGGTGGGCACACATGGCCCCTCCGTCCCCATCCAGCCCTGCAAAAGGCTCTGAGCAGGC